AACGTAAACGATCTTCTTCCAACCTTGAATGTCTGCATTTGTTTTGCAAATAATGCTTATGTTTCAACATAATTCGAAGTGCTTGTGGAATGGTTGGTCGCTTATTCCTAGCTTTGTGCCAAATGGTGATACGATGTTTCAATGCGTTTAAAAATTTTTGGAAATATTGAAACCACTCAAAAGCATCAGGATAATTAACCAGTCTAGCTTCCATAAGCTCCGGGTGTACAACCGACAAGACAGACTGATAAACATTCCAGTACGTCTTTGGGACAAATACTCAATCATCCGTAACGTCAATTCCTAAGAACTCTGTGAACACGGGAAGATGATCACTACCTTTATACATGAAGGACCGACAGTGGACGGCAGACATCGCTTCTGAAGAAAAAACCAAGTCGATTGTAGTATCAGACCTCCACGAAGTCTTCATACCATAGTTATGGACCTCCAGCTCGTTCGCATCGAGCCACTTCGACAAAACATTTCCTTTACCGTTCACCTGGGGGCAACCCCAATCTGCGTGTTTAGAATTTAACAACAGCTACCAGCGACAAACGATGTTGCCATCATGAAATCGTCTGCTGTTGAAAAAAATGAGTTTGGGGAAATTATATTACCGACATTATTTTTCAACTTTTCCAGCTCATTCCTACTTAGGCGTTGACTACGATAGACAGTACAAATTATCTTCTCTTGATTCACCACGGGCAATGATTGTATGTAATCAGCGTGACGTTGTTTCAACTGTTGATAAAGATCAATAATAAAGAAGCGAAATCGAAAGATAATGCCAATATTCCACGTTTGAAGTGCTTTGTTGACTAAACGACAAATAAACGAGTCACGTGTGCACCAATGTATTACATTATCCAGGGAATCGTCATTTTCAAATTCATCGATATTTTTCTGTTCGATTAGATTATCTTTATAGTATAACCGGCACTCTGCAAGCATTTCCTGTTTAGCTACATCTTTATCAATTGGAATGCGAAGTAAAATGTCAAAAAACAGTTCAAACCACATTAACCTGATACTCTCGCCGGTTGCATAGTCACGAATAGAATTTTCTGCTACACTGGTAATTTCTCTTTCTAAATATACTCATTGGTGATAAACTTTTCTTATAGGTTCGAACATCTTCAGCCAGCTGACGTAACAAACTTAATTTATCACCGAATATTCCGCAAATTTTTTCGTATTTTGTGTCCATTGCGCATGTATTTCTCTGTTCAGACAGAAAACGTAGATGAATTTCAATTGCGGCTCGTCATGAACTTCAAAGGTCACTTTTCCACCTAATAATCCAGAGACTATTAAGAATATGTTTCCATTTAATGCTGATCGAACGTAATCAACAGATGTCTGAGAATCATCAAACACTTTCAAATAGTTAACAGTTGTACCCAGACGACGTCTTGTATCTAAACAATCGTCAGTTTTATTCACATGACTATCTATCCAATCCAGTGTCACATCTTCATAATTAATATCCGGTGATATGCATACCGTTGTTGTTGTCGCAGAATCAATTGGTATCGGTCGGACTCCGAATGAGGCCATATGTAAAAAAGAATTTTCGGCAAAAAATAAAGATTCTTACTTTATAAATCGTTAATCATATGTGCGATGAAATGTGATCGTCTTACAAGAGTTGAGGATGGATTCAGAAAATCTGTCTTTCTGCCAAATAACTCATGAACAAACCCAAAAGCACGAAAATTCTCTCTTTTGTTTCATCCAAAAAAAATTCTCTTTTTGTTTTCATTTTACATTCATAGAAAATGAGGACGCTACACGAAAATCATAGTAATATAATAATTTGTTTGCTCTTTTTTCTTACCTTTCTTGCTAAATATGGAGAAGGGCGTCTAACGAATGCTGAAGTAGAATGCTATTTTGGTATCCTAAAAGATTCAACTTTTGAAAGAAAGACCAACCTGCGACCAACAGAGGTGACTGTATCTCTCTATCGAAGTGTTCAGGCTCCAAGCAGATAAATTCGGAGTTATCTAAAATGCAAAAAATCGTAGGAGAAAACCCAAAGATATGAATGTAGAGGAGGATTGGAGTAAGAAGATAGCTCAAAAGAAACAACAAAGTACATATTTCAGTCGAATTGATAAGTATAATAAAAAACGGCTGCCATCAAAGCCAATCAATCGTGTAGCAAAAACGAGTTTGTCGGACAAGTCGTCTTAAATTTCAACCAATTTAGAGAAAAAACTATTTATGTTTTAAATGATATATCTAATGCAACTTTGTCATGTAATTTACCTGATTCTTTATCTTCAAAGTTAGCAGAACTTTTGGCGGTACAGATTTTTTAAACAATATAAGTCCTTTCAGTAATGCACGTTTTCATCTTTTCATGTGTAATATAAATTGATCCATTTTAGATCGACCATATTCCGTGATAAATACCTGCAATATTGATTCTCCTCTCTTCGCTATTTATGTTATGTTTTGGACAGAACCAATGATAAAATTTATTATTTTAAATTCTGAAAACGAACCGTTC